TCTATCGCGATATTTCATTTTCCTATCGTTGCCTAACATTATACCGGTATTACCGTGAACGGTATAATATGGCCCAGCCCTAATTTTTATTACTATTTCAGTCATATTACTTCCTGTGTATTTTACTGATATTTCTGCTTTACAGATGTGTTGAATATTATGGAATTTGCCTGATCTTGAATCTCATAGTTAATGTATACTTTATTAATCCTGTAGGAAAATGCTTAGTCCTCTGCATTTAACCCATTTACTCAGTGAAGCAGTGGGCAGCTACCAATCCATGACCTGGGGAGCAGTGTGTAGAGATGGTACCTTGCTCAAGGGTATCTCAGGATAGCTGCTGTTCGGTGGATTTGAACCCCCAACGATCATGGGGCAAACACTCTATCTACTGAGCTATCTCTGCCCCGAGAGCTGGTCTTTTAAGTGATGATGTATGGACCCTGCTTTCGGGTCCAAACTACTCTGTGTTTATTAAGGCTGTTGTGTTTTAACATGTTTTTATTCTTTTTTATCTTGTTCTATTTAATCTGAACAAGCCCCTAAAAACAGTCAGTGATCACTGTCAGCCTAACCATCGGGAACCCTCACGTTAACTTTTATCAAGTGGAAAAAAGTTTCACTGTGTTTATGTTACGCTAACATAGCTGTGTCGCTAGCAGTCACGTAGCACATCATTATATACCAGCTAGTCCAACATCAGTAACCCTACAAACGCCACTGCTGTTTAGTTTTGTCTTCATTTATGTTGGAAGTGATAGCAGAACTGGTGTTAAGGTGGAAACCGGCGAGCTAACTTCTAACTCTGTTAAATTTCATATATTCTGTTTTCATGGATGCCTGGATGTTACCCCTGGTAGAGCCACACTGATCATTTTATTAAAGATGAAAGAATTTAGACAGTTTGTAACTCTCAGTGATGCCGCAGAGTTCCTTTGACTTTGGGATCTGCAGCGGAGTTTGGACCTGGAAACGGCTAATGACATCAGACTTAAAGACCGGATAGCATTTCTGTTGCTTAATACATATTTGTGTTGTGAATATTCATCCTTAATATGTGTAAATGCATATGCTTCAGAAAAATTATAGCAATTACAAAATGGTACATTTCAGGCTAGAATAGCAAAGGGGAAGCTGTCAGTAGAGGAACGAAAGAGAAGGAACAGGGAGGATCAAAAAATAAGTAGAGAAAAAATTAACAGCCAGCCTGAGTTTCTCATAAAGGGAAAGATGGAGAAATAGAGTGAAAGAGGGAAAAATAAAGAACATCAGTGATCTGAAAGGAAGAGAAAAAAGGCAGAAGAGAAGGTTTTGGAAACTAGCACAGAGAGTCAAAAGTATATGGAATCAGAACGATGCCACTTTGAAACGAAACCGAAAAATGGATTGAAACCGAAAAAAAATATTGTAACTGAAATAAATGTACTGAAAAATCTTGTATTGAAACCGAAAAAAAA